ATGGGAGGCTCCCATGTGTGGCCACCGAACTCCTCGGCGCACTCGATCCAGCAAACGTCAAGACCGTCGGAGCCCGCCGTGACGGCGAGGCCTCGAGGCGCCCAGGTTGGCAGCCTCGAGAGTCCTTCCGGCCTCGGCGACCCCGCGCCGCCGCCGCCGCCGCCCTCGTCGCCGCGATCGCCGCGCGCAGGTGAGGACTACTTCGTCACCTCGAAGGCGCCCTGGGCGGCGGCAGCGACTCTAGGCTTCCTTCTCCTCCTCCTCCTCCTCCTCCTCCTCCTCCTCCTCCTCCTCCTCCTCCTCCTCCCCCTCGGGGTGTGGGGAGCCCTGAGGCCCTAGGCTTTCTGTAGGGGATCCGAGTAGATGGGGTCGGAGGATTGCGCCGCATCGCCGATGCATCGACGATGCGGCTCGATGTGGAGCCCGATTTTCTCCACGCCGACGTCCCCGATGCGTCGCCGGCGTCGCAGATGCATTGGCGATGCGGCGCGGTCCTTCGACCCCATCTTCTCGGGTCCCATCTAGGAGGCCTCCAAAGGCGCTCCGGGCGGCGGCAGCGACTGCGCCGACGGCGACGGCGGCGATGTCGATCTGCGACGGCCGCGACGACGACGACGACGGCGGCGGTGGCGGCGGCGGCGACGGCGACGACGGCCGCGGCGGCGGCGGCGACGACGACGACGACGACAGCAAAGGCGGACGACGACGACGACGACGACGGCGGCGGCGACGACGACGGCGACGGCGACGGCGACGGCGACGACGACGACAGCAAAGGCGGCGGCGGCTACTGAGAGGCCGCCGAGGGCCGCCGAGGGCCTGGGACGGCCGCGCCGAGCTGGCGGCGCCTGGGGCGAGGGGAGATTCTCCAGGAGGAGGAGGAGGAGGGGGAGGGGGAGGGGGAGGGGGAGAGGAGGGGGAGGGGGAGGGGGAGGAGGAGGAGGAGGGGGAGGGGGAGGGGGAGGGGGACCAAGAACCGGAAAATCGAGAACCCAGTTCCCCGTGCTCATCGCTCCTCACTCGGCGTCGCCTTGTGGCAGTCGCACCCCTCCCGCAGTCCCTTCTCTCGGGATCAGGGTGATCGCGACAGTCTCTTCTGAACGCCCCTCATCATCCTCATCAGTTTCTTCATCATCACCTTCATGTCTTTAACATCGTTTTCTTGATCTTCTTCCTCATCGTCCGTCTCGTCTTCATCGCTGATGTCGTCGTCTTCTGGACGCTTCTTCACCTCCGTCACCTCCTCCTCCTCCTCCTCCTTGCACTCGCTGGGTGTGGCGAGGCAGGCATCATCTCCTCGCTGTGGGCGGGCTCCCCTCGAGATGCTGGTCAGAGCGCGCACCGGTCGCATCCGGGCCCTCCGAGCCAGAGGTCGCAGTGAAGACCAGTGATACCGAGGGAAACGGGGCCCTGAGAATTTTCTGCCGCGTTCGGTCTCCCGGGGCCCTCCTGGGGCCCTGGGGCCGTCAGGGGAGGAGAAGGACGGGGGACGATGATGAGGAGGGGCAGGAAGATGTAGATGATGAGGTGAGGGGGTAGGGATGATGATGATGATGATGATGATGATGATGATGATGATGATGATGATGATGATGATGATGATGATGATGAGGATGAGGATGAGGATGAGGATGAGGATGAGGATGATGATGATGAGGATGATGATGATGATGATTAGTATGATGATGCTGATGCTGATGCTGATGCTGATGCTGATTCTGATGATGCTGATGATGGTGGTGGTAGTGGTACTTATAATGATGCCGCTACTGCTGATGATGATGCTCATGTTATGTATGATGATGCTGCTGACGATTACGATGACGACGAGGATGACGGTGATGATGATGATGATGATGATGATGCTGATGATGATGATGCTGATGATGATGATGATTAGTATGATGATGATGATGATGATGATGATGATGCTGATGATGCTGATGATGATGATGATGTTGATGATGATGATGATGATGATGCTGATGATGATGATGATGATGATTATGGTGGTGTCGGTGGTGATGACAAGGATCGTGATGTTTCTGATGATGCTGCTGCTACTGATGCTAATGATGCTGTTGCTGAAGCGAGGAGGTTGATCCTCATAATGATGATGGTTGTGACGACGACGACGATGATTCTGCTGCTGATGCTGATGACGATGGTGATGGTAATGCCGACGATGCTGATGACGATTCTGGTGATGGTGCTGATAACGATGACGATCACGATGAGGATGATGCTGACGCCGATGACGATGGTGATGATGTTGATATGGAGGATCGTGGTAACACGGGGGATATTGCTTAGTATGATAACGAGGCGAAAGGTCTAGAGGAGTAGGAAAAAGAGGAGGACGAGGGTGAGGAAGAGGAGAGGAGAGGAAGCACGAGGACTGTGATGAGGATGGGGGGAAACGGGGGAGGGTGCAAGTTCTCATGGTCTTTGTCCTCACCCGCTCCTTTCTTATCCAACTCTTCCCTTCCCTCTCCTCCTC